ATTTTTGCATAGACTATAGTACAAAGCAGTGAAAATCATTAACAGGCAATCGTTCGATGGGCTAAATTGCACAGAACGCACGATCGCACCGGCTAGTCTGGTGCGCGTTGCCATTTATTTTGATTGTTGAAGCGTATTCTCGAAAAGCCAGCACCACTCTGGCAGTTGCAGTAGTGGTGGATTATACGGATCAGGGCCGAAATTCCATAAACTATGGGGAGCGGGGATCCTTGAGCCAGAGATCAGGGAAGGAGTTGGGTCACACAAGGTTTGCCTTCGGTTCTTCTTACATGTTTGCTTTCTATTTCGGGTTTTTGGCTTTAAAAATTCGGCTGATGCGGGGGGCATACATGGCTTTTGCTTGCCGCCTTCCTCGTGGAAATGGTGTCCGTCTCGTTAACGTAAAGCAGAAAAACCCCTTGCCAGAGTTTAATCCACACTCCCCAGGATGACCATGACTCGGAAGTGGCAGAATGTAGTACGCTCTTCCGCACTTCTGGCTGCTGATGTGTTAATGTTAATATCTGGTTGATCGTCAGTATCGATCGTCTCTGGGTCATCCAACCCGGAAATGTGATTGTTCAAGCGGGATGCAACGTAGCATGTGCCTTTCGAGCACAGGAGTCCCCTGGATCGCTGTTCCTCATCCTCTTGAACTTGCCATTCAACCCACAAATGCTGGAGTGCAGTGACAAGACTGGGAATACTGGATCTGCCCGAAAGTCCGCTATCCTGCTGTCACCCACAAATGGCATCATCACTCGACTAGAGCTACAGTTAGCAATTGATCCGCTGGCCAAGCAGTGACCAAACGTTGGGTTTTGTCAGTTTATGAGAGCAAGCTGAGCTTCCCCCGGGATGTTCTCAGCATGAGGAGCTCCAGTCGACCTATGCAGCTCTTTCTCAAGCAGTACTTTTTACTGCGGCAGGGCAGTCATCGCCCTGATACATTCTCTCCTCTTGAAAGTCGCAGTGATCGCCACTTTCGTACGGAGTCACTTAGATGCCGAGGACACTCTACAAATAGCGTAGCGCTAGAAGTACACGTGAAGCCGGAACTTCCTCGTGCACCTAACGCTACCGCATCACCCGATCCAAGCGTGAGGGTTGTGTAAATGTATGTGTGTACTATCCCCTGATGTTCTCATCATTCTCTGTATGCTCCGCACTCGCTGCACTCTGTCCTCGCTCATCCCAAAATTTTGCCAGCACCGGGTTCCGCTCATTTTCCTTCGTGCTACCTACACCGGGCACTAATCACGGCCAAGAAGTCGGAACATCCGTCCATGTGCAGTGCCACTGAGGGGGGGTGAAAGGCGCTCGGATGGAGCATAGAGTGAGCGGTAGCGCGTGTTATCAGCAGCTAACAAGGCTGTCGATGGCGCCCTATTTCGATGGTTGTTTGTAAACAAACTGCTAACCCCCGCCGGTGTGTGCCATCTGCGTCCAGGAGGGGGGTCAGCTGGTGAGTGAGGAAAGGGTGTGAGGCGAGAGACTGACGCCACTTCAGGGCATTTCTGCGCAACAGCTGCTGCTCGCTAATTGAGTGACGCATTCCCAGGTGCAGCAGCTGGTTCCTTTGAATGGGGGATCGAGGTAAAAAAATCGCGCACTCCCGGAATAGACTTCGCTGCCACTCGTCGACCGCTGGTAAAAATTCGCGCATAGCAGGCCTGTCGCTCGCGTCATTTTCTTTTCTTGCAGTGCGATGGCTTGGCTTTGCCGGTGGCGAGCGTGATTTCGGGCGCGGCCCAGGGTCGTCGTCACAATGCTGGGCAGGAAAATTGGTGAGTCAGCTTGCAGGTGTTTTGTTTTTTTTTAAAGAGAAGCACTCATTTTGTGCATTCGGACCGTTTTTGTTGTCCGGCTTTGTTATATTTCATGCACTGGTGCCCACTGTTTTGACCAGTGGGCCTGGCATGCTTACTTTACTTTCATACTTCGATCATCCATTGTTTTATCGCTGCGTTTCCTGTTGTCTGTGATGCAGCTATCAGTTTCTTCATTCTTCAACGTTTCGGATCTTTCTTATCCAATAATTTTCAAATAATTGTTTAAGCGAGTCTTCGTACTGACGGCCTTCCTGTGTTCTCTCAACACTGCGTAGTTTTATCCGCCTGTTGCCTCTCATACTTACCAGATGATCAGTCAACCACCCCCGCTTACATTGCCGTGACAGTTCCACGCACACCAGACCAAACTTCTGATACTTTATTTTAGGGGTGCTGTAATCTGCTGAAGCCTGTTGATCCGCATAAGAAAACCTATGTTTAAGGCGATGAGAAGGCATGTTCTGTTCTGTTGATTGCTGCTAGAAGAACGGGTGGGGTCTGCAGCCGAAGGAATGAGTGCGCCCAGTTTCGTTTCTGTCATTTTTGCAGCACAGTGTAACTTCTCGTGGAATGGCGACAACGGCGGCGCTGGCTCTCCTGCCTTCCTGCCGCTGCATATTGGCGAAACAGTGACCGTTGCATGTACTTCTGATGGTAAGCGGTCATTTGTAGAGCGCTGGTGCGATGCGTGACACTGAGTGCACGTTTTACTGCAGACTGGTGCTACGGGAGCAGTGTGGAGAGCGCTGAGAAGTACGGGATATTCCCGAGTTGCGCGGTCGTTGCAGCCGGCGAATCCGTCCCATCGGTGCCCAGTGAAGCCATCGAAATCGTGGATGAGCTCACCGACGTACTGAAGGAATGGTGGAACACCGTCAAAGTATGTTTTTTGCACTGTTTGCTGTTTTCACCACATCGCCTTCTCCGAGAACGGCATTTTCAGAGCACATACTGCCATCAGGCAAGGATGGAGTGCCAGGACAAAGTACTGTTGTACATGGAGGAATTGATGGGCATGCGGAAAAAGATTCTCTCTGGAAATGTGCCAGTCGAAGAACTCAAGGAAATGAGGACTGAATTGGCGAGAAAGATCGATCTTGGCAATCAGTAAGTGCTAATTTGGCTGATCAGCTAAAATGGCTCCCCTGAAAGAGCACTGTTTTTAATGAATCGGCAAGCAGAACCAGTCGGAATATACTTGGAATATTTAAATCGACTTACAGTGCGATTCTTCAGCCGTGCAGCTAGCAGGTTTTCCAGTTGCCTGTGGCTAGTCCCTTTGCGATCCTGGCGTCCGTTCGGTCCCAAAAATATACATTACATCTCCACTGTTCTGCAATGGAAGCAGGCCGTTTCGGTGCTCTGTGTTGGTCGTCTCGAACGTTGCCATTTTAGGCTACAAGAATGCTCACTTTTTATGTATCAGCAATGTGCTTTTGCTGCTGTTGTAGATGGCTGGGCCTGGACATGCTTATCCGTGATAAATCGGGCAAGAAAATGGATTGCGATACGAATTCTGTGATACAGGTGTATCGTGCTCATGTGGAAACTGCAAATCGAATTCTCAGTGATTCGGTAGGCTTCTGATACGAGCAGTGCGTAACTGCCAGTGACATTTTAACCTGAATTTTAACTCTTCTTATTTTTGTCCTCAGTCATTATTGAGTATTCTTCTTTTTAACATTTTTGTGTTACGCGAAGCCCAGTAATTTGCGTTTTGGCATAGTTAGCACTTCGCTGTCAGTTTTAACGTAATATTGACCAAAACTTTGCATCCTCTTTGGCTTATCTATTTTTGCATATTTATGCAGGTGCAAGAATGCATGTTGAAGAGGGGCCGTGTGTGTGTGTGTGTGTGTATTCAAAAAAGAGAGTGCAGTTTGTCACTCACTCTAACGTAGCAACAGGGGATAACTGGAATTTTGGGAGCGTGTTCCCACCTCGTGTGTCACTCTTCCGTTTTAAAGTCTTCACTCATGCGCATCTGGATGTCACCTACTCTTGAAGAAATGTGTAAATTTTTTGGCAGAAAAACAATTTTGAAAACCGGTAGGTGTAGAAAGGTGAAACTTTGCAGGGATATTCTTTGTGTATGAGTTAAAGAATTCAAATTCACTTATCACGCACACTTGCATCTTGAGTACAGTCACTTCAAAGTTCACAAGTTGGCATCGCGCAGATTCGAAAATTAGCCGAGAAACAATAGCAATTTTATTAAAATATCGTCCATCTGGGATATCGTATAGCTAAATCGAGTTTCGATTTGCGCTTGTGCCACGCGTTAGGGAATGTCATAGATATTTGTAGCGAAGTGGTGATTTCGCTTACAGGACAAGCTGCGAAGCTAAAATTTTGCAGTGGTATTTTATATTCACGTGTAGTCTAAATTCTGCTTGGAGCTAAATTCTCTGCATACGGAAATGATAAAAACTCATTTTTGTCGCGACTGCAAAAGCGAATGCTTTTTGCGGATCTTATAATCCTCTCCCGACATCGTGTTCATTGTCAAATTTTGCATTTTTAACAAACAGCCGGTCACCAGAAACATATTCATTTCTCTCCATATAATTTGATAATCATGCACGCTGAAGGTTCACGCGACCCAGTGATATAGCAGTGCTATCCTAGCCGAAGCCGCTTTGCTTCTACATGCAGGAAAAGACCGAAACACTGCCAACATGAGTGACGAAGTTAAATGAAAGCGACTAAACATTCAAATTGTTGATGATCTTATTGCTTCAATTTTAGTGCAAGAACGCATGATCGCACCTGCTGATCTGGGGCATTGCTGCCTGGACTTTTCACTTGTTTACTCGGTTTTTCACACTTTTGCTCATACTGCCGACAGTTGCGCCTCCGAATGCGGCATATGTCATAAAGTGGTGTGTGCGGCAAGGATTCATTTGTCTCTTTCCTCATTGGTAGGCAGTTGCTAAACTTCTGAACAGATCTGGAACACTTGGGAAATATGTTAATTCACAGTGTGAATGTGTGCTGCTAGCTACTCTTCCATTACGTTCTTATGCTTATCGCATCCACCTACTTCCCAGGCGTGTTCGATGAACTCAACATATTCGAAAGTTCCATTAAAAAAAAAGTATCGGGAAACTTTTGCCACAACTCTTGTCGCGTTTGATTACGAGCTTCATCCGCGGAATAACATTGAAGCTAAAAATGAAAAAGTTTACTACTTATAGCTGTACTGAAAAACAAAAGGCATTTCGGGACGAAAGAAAGTCCAAAGTGTTCAGTGACAAAGAAAAAGCACGATGGGAGGGATGCGGATGGAGAGTTGTTTTCTACTGACATGCGCTTGAATGGCAAAGAACTCTCCCTTCAAATCAGTGAGATTTGTGAGTACATAGCTGTGCGTGTGCCAACCCGCGAAATTGAACAGTCTGTAGGTTTGCCGGTTATCTTACGATGCCTCATCGTTCCCTCGACAAAAGTCCCTCGTTTTAAAGAAATGCAGAACAAAAGGTGGTGGGAAATGTGATGCAGAAAGCGAAGCAAGGAGTCACTTTTCCGTATTTTTGTATGAGCACTTTGGTCATTCCATTTTGGAGTTATTTTCCTTCCCCTCCTCCCACCCGTGATGTTCGCTCAGGCTGGAACTTAAGTGAATAAAAGCGCAAAATTTTGCAGAAACCGAATGAAACACGTGGAGTGAGTGCATATTCGCTGCTGGTCCACGCGCTCTCTGCCACAGTGGATGCGAAATGCGAATGTGAATTCACGTTATCCATTTACAGTGTCAACGAAAAAAAATTTATCTCGTTAGTTTCAGTGCATTGACTGCATCGCCCCTTCTTACCTCACAAAATTTCATTGTGTTTTTCCCAGAACGAATCGTTATTTTGGAAGCGGCTGTTGCAAGGAAGCTGAAATTGCCATCAACTTGTTAATTGGCGGCACTCGAAAGAAGAAATCATAGGAGATTTTGCCAGTAGGTGGTTGATCCTCAACCATCCGGCCTACTTGCGAGAGCCTTCGTCTTTCCTAGAGAGGGGACATGGCGACTCGTCGACCCGAATTTTCCAAAGTTCTTCGTTTTGTCTGCATGTTAAAATCCATAGTCAATTGCAGCGAGAACTTCGTGTTCTACTGGAGCTTTTCAACGGGTAACTTGATGCATCATAACAGCAGAGCCTTGTTTACTGTATGTTTTTAAACTTTTTTTTTGTTTGAAAGTATGTCCTGTCGACTGTCAAATCTGAGTGATTAAAGTATTTATAATGCTGTCTTAAAATGTTGCAGGATCTTGGCTGGAAAGAGTATCCGTCACCACCGTCCGCAGCAAAGGATCATCGTCTTTTGTTGTGTATTAGGGTTGCTCGTATCGCGCCAATAGAACAGACTTCTTCTACGCTTAAGAAACACTTTGAGGTTGGCCCGTCTCAGCATTGGTCTCGGCAGGTTCATGCTGCAGCAGTGCTCGACCTCTCGGACGTTATCGCTGGATCGCATGGGTCAACAGAACATATTGTTCCTCTGAATCGGTATGTTTTTCTTCGTTCATAAATATCGTCGAATTAGACTGGCATAATGCATCTTTGTTGCAGAGATGATTCGCTGGAGCAGCTGATAGATCGGGCCAGCGGTGCCAGGACAAGTAATACTTTGAAGTCTGTGAACGGGGACTTATCCGGCAAGTAGCACACTTCTGCATTTTTATCCAGAACTGAATGTCCATAATGTTCTGGTAGTTAGTGATCACTTAAGCAATTTTTAGCATTTGGACGGGCTCAGCTAATGATCTCGGTGGAAGTTCTTCCTGGCAGTTTGGCTCAAATCAAGAAAATGCAACCACAGATTTTCTCTAGTGACCCACCGCGTGAGTTGAAGAAATTGTCGTTTGCTGATGTCATTTCTGCAGGTGGGCATTCTTCATCTGTGAAAGCATACGTATTACAAATATAAAATAAGCAAATCAAAATAAAGCCATGTGTGAACACACCCTACATATATACATGTGTATACATATATATGTGTATACATATGTGTACATATATACATATTTATATATGCACATATGCACATATACATATGTATGTACATATATGTACATATATATGCATTTATATGTACATACATATATACATAAGTAGATATACGTACATATATACGTATATATATATATGCATATATATACGTATATATGTGTATATACATATATATGTGCGTATATGTACATGTATATATGTGCATATATATACATATATATACACATATATGTATACATATATATGTGCGTATATATATATACGCAAGAAAAGCTCAGGAATTAATAAAGAATAAAAAAACAGCAAAAAGCAAAGATGAATTAAAAAAAGCAAAAAGAAATCGAGAAGTTAGCAGCAGTTGCGAAATTAGAATTAGCTAAAATTAGGACTTCCTGGTCTGTCAAGTTGCATGCGTTTTATTAAAGCTCAGGCCAGCTGTTTTATTGCAAGATTGCAGACGACGTCCGGAACGACCTGTACTTCACTCTGCTGCAAGGCGACTTGCATGGTGGCAAAGGATCGGACAGAAATATCGAAGCAAGGATAACCGTTGTCGACAACAATGGCATTGTTAAAGATGTAGTTTTTTTCTTTTAAAAACTTTGCTAAACGAATAATGCTTGCTTGTTGTTTGAAGTGGTTTACTTTAAGAGCATCGAAATCCTTGCTGCGGATCGGGTGCATCGTCAAACAACTTATCGCAGTCTTGTTTTTTACCACGACGATAAACCGAAGTGGAATGAAACCATCAAAGTAAGTGCATGAAAATATTTGCGAGTGATTTGGAGTATGCCTTTAATTGTACTTCACTGTGAGAATGTCAGAGTAACTGCTCAAAATCTCGCTATTTTTTGTTTGGCAGTAACGTTAGAGGTACGATTCTTCTAAAAAGTAATTTTTAGGTGCAGATTCCTGAAAACATCGATCAGAACATTCATCTTCGAATAACATTCCATCACAAGAAAAGTTTCGATAAGATGAGGCAAGAAAAGGGTCCATTTGCCCTTGCATTTGCACGTATCATGGAAGGCGCAACCCTTATAAAGGACGGGACCCATGAATTGCTTATTTATAAGGTAGTCTCTGCTCGTGCTTGTAGTTGGTTGTTCGAGCCTCAACTGTTTGCCTGTTTCCACTAACTTTTTATTAGATCGACTCAGGACGATTCGACGATAGCGATACGAGTTACACTCGGCTACCAGCTACACAAGGAGAACTTAAGGTTTCACAGTGTCAGCTGAGACCGCAAACAGCAGCTTTCGTTCACGGTGAAAAGAACTTTCTTACCGTTAAAACGGTCACTTGCTCAACCACACTAACGCATAACAAGAATCTCCTGGATATATTGAGATGGAAGCAAAATCGGTGATTTTTTATTCGCATTTTGAACACTGAATAGGATATTTTGGATATAAGTTCCAGTTGATGCTTTACTTTGATATTTTGCCTGGTTGTTCAGTTGATATTACTTCAGATTAGTGGCCAACATTTCAGAAGTAACTTAAAGGAGCTGCTGGAAGAAATCTCGAAACCGAGGAGCTTGACGATTGGTGAAGAATTAGTGAAATTCATCCCAAACTTTTGTGATGCGCTTTTCGAAATTCTTGACCACTATCCTGGTTACGACAGCCTTGTTTTTGACGCATTGGTAAGTCCCTGTTGGAAAGCTGACAGCATTTTTGTACATTTAGGAATATTATTCATGGAAAGCACATTCAGTTTTTATGCATTTTTTGCAGCTATGGAATGCAGAAAACGCACACTGATGAGGGGTTGTCTGTGTGTGCGTCTCTCACGGTTTTTCATCTCAAGATCTTCAAAAGCCACAGGGCTGAAAATTTGGAAACTTAATTTACATGCAAGTGCGGGACTCAATCCCAAAAATGGACGCCATTATCCACGTGGTACTCGCGTACGGGCCCGCCAAAGTTTTTTTTGGGTAAGTTCATAACTCGGGGATCTGAGAAGCTAGAAAGCTGAAATCTTAGGGTGATGTTCCCCGTCCAAGTGGGTATTAGTGAGCTCAAACCCGGCCTCTGCCATAGGCGTGGTATCCGCATACGGGCCCGCCAAAATTTTTTTCGGGTAAATTGATAACTCGAGTACCTGAAAAGCTAAAGGACTGTAATTTTAGGAGAATATTTCCCGTCCACCTTAATTCCATTCAGCTCAAACCCAGCTCTCGGGTATGCGTGGTAAATACGCACGGTCCCGTGAAAGTTTTTTTTTTTTAGTAAGTTGCTAACTCAGGGGCCAGGCAAGCCAGAAAGCTGAAGTTTTAAGAGGGTGTTTTCTGACAGTTCTGGCGGCCAGTCTTAATTTGTTTAGCTAGAAGTATTTGCCGAAAAAGGCGGTGCCGGTAGCGTATGCAAAAAACGCATCTTCGCGCAGGCAGCCCGTACGTTGGCCAATTACTTAAATAAATTGAGGATTCTGTTTAGGTTACTCTCACACAGCTTGTCAACGAAGAACGGTACAAAAATTTTCGGCCGGTGTTAGAAAAATACGTCGAAAACTTCCATTCCACCGTGGCATTTGTGTTGGTTTTCATATTCCTTGAATTGAATACTTCAAATGACTGGATGATTTTCTTGTTCAGTGATGCATCAGAGTGCGCTCTGTTCTCGTGGTTAATTCTCCCTCCAATTTTAGTATAACATTCTTCTGAAACTCGTACAAAATTCAGTGTTTATTTTTTTCAGTAAACTGTTGCCGGTTCTTCGTGAACGAATTGAGAGTGCAGAAGAGACGCATGAAAGATCACTGAATACAATGAAGAGTTTGGGCACGCTAATCCAGTTGATAGTAAAGTCCAAGTTGTGTAGTGACAGGTAATTTGCTGGCCTCTAAAAACTCATTTAATATGCTGTTTTGTTTTGATAAAACTTTAAATTTTCTTTTTAACGGGTGATCGTTAAGCGGTTTTTGGATTTATGCAACTAGAAAAGTGCGTACTGAAGAGACTGCTCTGTTTGTTTTTCTCTCTGTCTCCCATGCACTTTCAGTTTCACTGCTGGATAAGTTAGAAAGCTAAAATTTTCGGTTTCAGAAATCAGCTTTTGGTCTTTTTTTTTGATTTAGACTCAGAATGTTAGCCTTCTAACTCCACTGGTCTTTTCTTGGCTCTAGAAATGCTGGCGTGAAGTTAAGGACCATTTTTGCCGAAGCCTCATCAGAACATGTATGAGTTAAATACGTTTTTAGGAAGCATGTCAAACCAGTAAAAAACGCATGCTGCTGTAGGCCTACTTCAACAGCCATGCCAGCGAATGATTTGACATGTGCTGCCGCTCCAGTTACTTTTCAGTACCTTCGCCTCTAAACGAATAAACATCATGAAAGAGGAGCAAGAGCGGTGGCGAAGGGGGAGGGGGAAGGGAAGAAGGGCGAAGCAAAACGGAGAAGGAGAAGCGAAGATGCGGCTTTTTTTTAAAAAAGTTGCTAGCGGGTCTTGGTCAGACTTGTGTAATGCAGTGTATTATCATGACCAGCTTCTAGTCGGAATACGCGCTGTTTGGTGCCTTCACTGTTAAGCGATAGACGTTGCGAGCCACTGTGTAGTGCCTCCTGAAGAGAAAATGATCCGTTGGTTAACTTGTAAAGGAATGATGTGCTTAAAAATGGTTATTACAGGCTGAGCGCAAACACATTGGGAGTTGTAAGCTTGAAGTAGCTGTGCTCATTTGGATTCTACGTTTCAGTAGCATCGGGAGCATTGCGTCCGATTCACAATTACAATATATTTACAGGCTTGGACTAACATCCAACAATTTCCGACATCTCATTAGTTTGCTTTTGGAATCTTTCGTTACATTTATGCAAAACAAGCGAGTACGAATGACTTGTCAGAATATGGCACTAAAACATATTCCAGCGATCATCCCTCATCTCACTTACTGCTGTGTCTATGACAGCGAAGATCTTACGTAAGTTCTTCCCTGTCAGCTTGATCAATCGTGAAAGATGGCAGACAGAATGATTTTTTAAGGGATTTCTTGGTACGACTGATGGATCATCTGGGTGAAAATATAAGCTCAAGATGCCGCTTGAATTTCTTCCGGGATGTTGTGCAAACAGAACACTTTATTGAGGAGGAGAACCGGAAAAAATTGTTGCCAAAGGTTAGGTTTTTTTTTTTTAATTTTTGCTTGTGGTCAAAACATCTTGTGTGTTCTGCGGCTGGATAGCTTTCTGTTTCTAGCGCTCGAGATGTTCACACATCTAATGAAATATAGGCTTTAGGAAAGTAATTGAAGAACCATCACTCACTCTAACTGCCCTTTTTTAGCGGACATTCTTCTCTGTCTTGTCGCATGCAGCACCATTAATTTCCGCTTAATATATTACTTGTGGCCTAAAAAATTTGTTTAAACGGTATGTGGCGATGTCACATAGCATCCAGAGTTGTCCGTTGACGATCCAGGAGTCTTTAAATTGTGAAACGTGCACATGCTTCCCATGGCACAAGGCTGATGGGGCACATGCTTCTCTTCAATAGTCGACATTGCATTTTGCTGCGTGCCCGGTCGGAAGTGGAAACTGCAGGAGGGCTTTAAATGAGTCTGAGTTTCTTACTGAAAGTGTAAATTTGCAGCGTTGTCCGGGCAAAAAGTAGCCTTTTGAATTTGAAAAAAAATTGAAAGCTTTTGAAGTTAGTCTGCGAGTGGTGTGCAGCGTACATTGGCAGTAGGCGTTGCTGTCATGGTTAGCTTTGTCATAAAAATTTGAACTTTAGCAAACTTACCACGCGGGACTTTGTAAAAATTTTTCCTTTTTTTTTTGTGAAAGTACTTCCTCAAAAATAGCCAGGGTTTCACTAAATTTCTCACACCAACAGTATTTTTTAGTTCCTTCGTCTTTCTGAATCAGAAATCAGTTCTAATGAAATTATCAGAATCCGATACGTAACACACGCTTCGAAATTTCAGCCAATAGTCAAACCTCAAATTTGGGTTGTTAAACGGTGACAATTCAAAAACATGAAGTGCAGGTATACACGATCGAAAGGTGAAAAAATTGTCTCAAAAAAAAAAAAAAAAAAAGAAATTACAACATCCTCAAAAACAAAAAGCATCTCCACAAAGAAACTTATTTCTTTTCGTTGAAAACAGAAACACATGCAAAAAAAAAAATAAATAGCCGCGCGCACCAGAATATCCGGTGCGGTCATGCGTTTTGTGCAATTCCGTCCATCAAACGATTGCCTGTTAATGATTTTCACTGTTTTACACTTTGTCCTGTACAAAAATAATTGGGATGTTGAAAAATAGTTAAAAATTTCATGTATAGGCACGTGAAAGCGGAATTTGAAACCTCGGAGGGTGAATATCCATCCAAAGTTTCAATCTTCTAATTTTCTGGCTTTCGAATGATCCTTGAGACAAAATTTTCACGCGGTCATACTTGAGACCTCAGCATACTTAGGAACTAAATTCGAGTTTGTGAAGCCCTTGTTTAGGTAGGAAACATCCTCCTGAAATGTTTAGCCCCCCCGCCACTAACTCTTCTGGCTTCCAAGACAGTGATTTTTTTTTCGCCAAAACTTCCCACGTGGGAGGGGGATGCCACAACAAAATTTCATCTTTTTCGCTTTTGCAGTCCACGAGATAAATTCTCTACCAAAACTTTCACTGGGGCCATATGTGGTACCCCGGGGAGCGTGAAGGCTGAATCTAAATTTATAGAGGTCGCACACTGTTAGGGGACATCTCCGTAAAATTTCAGGTTTCCAGCTTTCTTGGCTCCCGAGATAATAATTCTCCCCACCGAAACTTTCACGGGCCGTATTTGACCTGGGCACGCGGGAACGCTGAATCTGAATTTGCAAGATCGTACGTGGGCAGGATGTTATTACCCTAAAACCTCGGCTTCCTAGATTTCGCGGTTCCCCAGATAATAATTTCCCCGCCAAAACTTTTTACGGGACGGTACGTGTTACCCGCAGGTAGAGGAAGGCTGAATTTGAATTTCCTGAGTCGCACGTGGTGGGGGACATGCTCACAAGATTTAAGCCTTCTAGCTTCCGTGGTTCTTGTGATAATAATTTTACCCACCAAAACTCCTACGAGGCCTATTTGTTACTCGCGGGTACGAGGAGGCTGAATTTAAATTTGCGGGATTACAGGTAAGTGGGGAACTTTCCCCTAAATTTTCAGCCTTCTAGTTTTTGGGGAATGCTATTGGCGTTGCCACCGAGCCAAGTAATGTCTTCCATGTTGTTGACGACTTATGTATATGTACAGAGAGGCTGCGTGTTGGACACGGCCAACCTCGGAGGTCAGCTGCACCGCAGAACCTTTATCTGTGCTGACCTCTGAGAACAGCCATACCGACAAAAAAATACTTCATTACAACAACAAAATGAATCTGTATTTTTACAGCAACGAAATAGTTGCTGTACCTCAGTGATAAAATCTTTTTCAAATAAAATTAAAATCACATTTTTGTTTCTCCACAAGTAATTCAGCTTTCGGCAAATTGGAAGCCTAATCCATACGCGACTTGTTTCGGTGAACTTAATTTTGGATCACTGGATGCTGGATTATGATATATCATTGTTTAGATTGTGGAAAAAGTTGTGGAAGAGCTGGAGAATTCGAATTTTGTTTATTTGCACGATTTTGCTGCTCCCTCGCTGGATCGCTCAAAAATTGATGATTGCATAACGGCGAGCGCTGACATCATGTTCCACATCATTGAGCGCCTTTTCTGCTCCACTGTCCGTTAGGCTTCCCTTAACACATTTCAAATATAACTGAAAATCCGAAAGAAAGAGCATTTTTCTACTTAATCATTTCGATATATCTTATGCCTTATTGTTCACCAGTTTCTTGAGACGTTGCAGCCGTAGCAGTTTTCCAAATTGCAGGATTCGCCTGTTCATGAGCAGGGAAGCGAGGATGAACTTTATCTCATTGTATCGAAATCGTTCCGCACTATTGTTCAAACGACAGTTGTTCTCGTAAATGCGAAATATTCTGCTGTGAATTTTTAAATTCTTACCAAATTTTTCTCCTGTACATGCCGGAATCCCACTTCTAGAGCCTTCTCAGGAGTGTTTTTAACATTTCCATTTTTTTATGCGTTTTGTGCTGTGTAACAGCAGTACAAAACGCATATTGTTACGGGGTTGTC